AACCTGCAACCTGGGCATATGCCCTTGACTGGAATCAAACCTGGGACCCCTTCAGTCCACAGGCCAATGCTCTATCCACTGAGCCAACCGGCTAGGGCATCTTCATATTTTTTTAAAAAAATATGTTATTGATTTTTAGAAAGAGGAAGGGAGAGGAAGAGAGAAACAGTGATCGGCTGCCTCCTGCACGACCCCTACGGGGGATCGAGGCTGCAACCTGGGCATGTGCCCTGACCGGGAACTTTTAATTTTTATTTTTTAATGTATTTTATTGACTTCTTACAGTAGAGGAAGGGAGAGGGATAGAGAGTCAGAAACATCGATGAGAGAGAAACATCGATCAGCTGCCTCCTGCACACTCCCCACTGGGGATGTGCCTGCAACCAAGGTACATGCCCTTGACTGGAATCGAACCCGGGACCCTTGAGTCCGCAGGCCGACGCTCCATCCATTGAGCCAAACCAGTCAGGGCGAACCGGCAACCTTTTGGTGCACATGAGGACGCCCAACCAACCGAGCCACCCCGGCCAGGGCCTGTGCGGGGGTCTTAGCTTATAAAGGTGGCTGCATGAGGACACGTAGGGGTTAATACCTTTGAAAGGAGGTTTTTAATACTCAGGCGCCTGAAGATGAGCCACGCCACGCAGGGTAAGCGGAGACAGGCGAACTGGGGACCGTGCCAGGTCAGGGTCGGGGGCTGCGAGGTTCGTGACTTTGCACGCCCACGAGGGCTGGCTCGTGGGGACCACGGAAACCACTTGGGCTGTTAGTCTGTCTCTGAGGCCGTGGTTCTGTGCAGCGATTCAGGATGACACACCCAATAGCCAACACAGGCGCTAAAGATCCGAAATCGCTTCCTTCCCCTGCTTCCTGCTGCTTGAGACGCTTCGGATGAATGACATCTGCCTGGCGGTTGATGCCTGGGACCTTCCCCCGGCCAGGTGTGGACTCACCCCAAACCCCAGCTCTCTGCCACCCAGCTTGCTCACGTTGCAAGAAATGCTTGAGCCCGGCCCGTGTCGCTCAGTGGTTGAGCATTGACCTATGAACCAAGAGGTCACTGGTTTGAGGACCGGTCAGGGCGCAGGTTGCTGGCTCCATCCCCAGTAGGGGGCGTGCAGGAGGCAGCCGATCAATGATTCATCATTGTTGCTTCTATTTATAGCTCTCTGCCACCCAGCTTGCTCACGTTGCAAGAAATGCTTGAGCCCGGCCCGTGTCGCTCAGTGGTTGAGCATTGACCTATGAACCAAGAGGTCACTGGTTTGAGGACCGGTCAGGGCGCAGGTTGCTGGCTCCATCCCCAGTAGGGGGCGTGCAGGAGGCAGCTGATCAGTGATTCATCATTGTTGCTTCTATTTATCCCTCTTTCTTCTCTGAAATCAATAAAAATATATTTAAAGTAAAACAACACACACACACAAAAGAAGAAATTCCTGAGATCCTACGGTGTCAACTTCCCCTTCCCCCCAACTTTATTTTTCTAATAAGAGATCACTGTTCTGCAAAGTTTTTGTTCTTGGCCATTTGAGTTGTTGGACTTCTGCGCCTCGCTTGTGAATAATAGAATTATATCTAGTTTGGCAGGTTCTGACGCAGGCCCCTTAAACTTGGTGTTAGGCGGCCGTCGGTACGACGCCCAGCACCTGGGCACACAGACATTGGCCCGCGCACTGCCTTCCTCACTCTGCTCTCCAGCGAGCGATCCCTTGACCTGTAGCAGCCACGCGGGAACCAGCATCGCCCTTGGGGCGGCACCCAAAGCGGATCGTCAATTGCATCTGAAACCTGGGGCGGCGAGTGGCGGCCGGGGCCGTATGTTCCAGGGTCTTCTCGCAGGTTTATCGGTCTGAGTGTCCATTTCATTTCTGCTCGTGCGTGCCATCTCCGAGGGCCGGGTAATTCCGTTGATTTCTGGTGATGGAGACGGTGATGAGCACTCCCTCCACATTCAGCAAAGCCATTTCTCTCTTCTTCGCCGGGAATCCCATTGGTGCCCCCTGTCCACAGTGCTTTCCTGATTCAATATTTTGTGTACCTGGTTATGAATTTGATAGAGCATTTAATTTGACATTTACTATAAAACACCTGATTTCAATATAGTGGTACGTGTATGTGTGTGCGCGCGTGTGTATGTGTGTGTGTGTGTGTGTGCGTGTGCGTGCGTGTGGTGTACACCGTTTTAGTGCCGTGAGCCTTGGGAAATTGACCCTACAGATATCGCATATAGACCTACATGTATAAGGCTTGTTTGTATTTTTTTGGCAAAGCGATACATTCCTGTTATTTATAAAAATGACTGCCTTCGGTGTCATGTAGAGATCTTTGTAGACTGATTTCAGAACAGAATTAAAATATTGTGAAAATGACAGCTTAATAAATGTTTTATTGTAATAACTGGCTGCTGTATGACCTCTTAAATCTACTTCCTCCCTCCCGGCCAAGCCTCCGTGGAGTTCTCCCAGTTTCGACACGTGATGGTGATGCTATGATTCTGTTCCCCATCCGACGAGAAGATCAGACCATCTCTCACGGGAGGTGTTCACTGGGAGGCGGGGCCTGTCGGATAAAATACAGGGTGCCTGGTTCAGTGTGAATTTCAGGTAAACGACAAACAGACTTTAATTTTGGTTAATCCTCTCCTGAGGATATTCCCCCCCCCCCCCCCCGTTGATTTTTAGAGAGAGAGGAAGAGAGAGGGATAGAAACATCAATGACAGAGAAACATCCATCAGCTGTCTCCTGCATGCCCCTATTGGGGATGGAGCCCACAACCCGGGCATGTGCCCTGCCCGGGAATCAAACCATGACCTCCCGGCTCATGGTGGAAGCTCAACCACGGAGCCGGCTGGGCTGTCGTTACATGCTAATCGGTAGCTATAACCCACAGAAGGAAGTGCTCCTGGGGTAGGTTAAAGGATACATAAAGGTCCCTGCCTTGGGCTGCTATATACAGAAATACCATGGACTGGGTGGCCCAAACAGCAAACAATTATTTGTTTGTTTAAATATATTTTATTGATTTTTTACAGAGAGGAAGGGAGAGGGATAGAGAGTTAGAAACATCGATGAGAGAGAAACATCGACCAGCTGCCTCCTGCACACCCCCCACTGGGGATGTGCCTGCAACCAAGGTACATGCCCTTGACTGGAATCGAACCCGGGACCCTTCAGTCCGCAGGCCGACGCTCTATCCACTGAGCCACACCGGCCGGGGCCAAGGAACATTTGTTTATGACAGTTCCGGGGGCTGGAAGTCCAAGGGCAAGGTGCTGGGTATTTGGTGTCTCGGGAGGGGCCGCTTCCTGCTTCTCTGTTCCGTGACCCTTGATCCCTTGTCCCTTCCCACTGACTCCAGGAGCTGACGTTCACTTCCTCCCTCTGCACTTCGCGGGGTCCCCTCCGAGCCCCGCAGCGCCCTGGGTCCTCACCTACCTGGGGCCCCACGTGCATCCGAGTGCAGAAATGTTAGCGTAACCGCGTCCCAAACGCAAGCCCCCCCTCTTTCGGTCCCACGGGAGTTAAGCGCTGGGAACCGGCTGAGACCCGCACGTGGGGCGGGACTGACGCGCTCGGCGCCCATCGGGTTGCCAAGGTGACGGCGCGCGGCCTTCGCAGGCGAAGGGTGGCCCCGCCCCGCTGGTCAGCTCCCATTGGGCACGCCCTTTTCTGGTCTCTCCCTTGGGATTGGCTGAGAGGCGCGGCCCATGTACCGGAACGACTTGCGATTGGTTGGCGCTCAGGCCGTGGCGCGGCAGCCTGGGCTGATGTGGGGCCAGCTCTCCGTCC